CACTCCAGTCTGGGCGACAGAGTGAGACTCCAACTCAAAAAAAAAAAAAAAGAAAGTGCTGCGAGTATTGATTTTGGAGTTACAAATAAATTTAGTGAGTAAGCTGATTTGCAAATTCAGGAATCTGAATAATGCTGGACTATCTTTAAATGATGAAGTGAAAATATTATTTCACCACAGTTGGTTTAATTTGTATTATTTAGTTCCTGTGGATTAGGTTTTATTATTAATTTGGAAAGAACAATGTGATATAATTGCTTTTATTCAAGAAGGTTTCACACTGTTGTTTTCTTTTAGATATCTTTTTTTTTTTTTTTTTTGAGTTGGAGTCTTACTCTGTCACCCAGGCCGGAGTGCAGTGACACGCTCATGGCCACTGCAACCTCAACCTGCTGGGTTCAGGTGATCCTTCTGCCTCAGCCTTCCAAGTAGCTGGAAGTACAGACATGCGCCACCATGCCCGGCTAATTTTTTGATTCATTATAGAGATGAGGTCCCATCAAATTGTCCAGGCTGGTCTCATGGGCTAGGGCAATGCTCTTACCTTAGCCTCCTAAAGAGCTGGGATTATAGGCTGTGCTACTGTGCCCAGCTTCTGTTAGATGTCTTAAAACAGTTATCAAAGTGCCACTAGATGATAGTTTTCTGTAGTTTATTAGCATAGGGAGAAAAAGGAGCTAAGTGTATCTTTGTTGTAAATACAAATCTGTGTTTTTGGAGAGTGTTAGTCTGTTTTGCATTACTTCTATAAAAGAATACTTGAAGCTGGGTAATTGGAAAAAGTAAGATTTATTTTGGCTTATGGTTCTGCATGGTGCCGGCCTGTACTCAACTTCTGGTGAGGCTTTTACTTGTGGCAGAAGGCAAGGGGAGATGACATGTCACATGAAGATTGGAAGCAAGGTGGAGGGGATCCCGGTCTCTTTTAAACAACCAGCTCTCCTGTGAACTAATAGAGCAAGAGCTCACTCATTACGATAAGAATGACACCAAGCCATTCATGAGGGACCACCTCCATGACACAAACACTTCCCACCAGGCCCCACCTCCAGCACTGGGAACATGTTGAGATTTGGAGGAGACAAACATCCAAACTATATCACGGAGTGTTCTTTTCTTAGTGCTTTTAAATATTTGAGATTAAAATAATTTAACACAAGGAAATTCAATGTTTAATGAGCTTACATTCTATTCCTTTTAAATCATGTTCTGTAGCCAGGTGCCACTCTTTGTGCAAATTCATCACAAATGGCGAAGAATGTATGTGGGAGAATGTCAAGGTCCCGGTGTCCGAACTGATTTTGAAATGGTTCATCTTCGAAAAGTGCCAAATCAGTACACTCATTTATCAGGTCTGCTGGATATCTTCAAATCAAAGATTGTGAGTTGGCATTGATATTGTCAGTCTTATCTGAGATCCAGATAAAAGTAGAGACTGGATAATTTTATTCAGTATATAGAAGCATTTCTCTAAAATATTGGTAATGTAATTGCTTAGGAGAAAGCTGTAATTGACTACATAAATTACTTTGTATGTTTAAAGAAACAAAATATTCTATTGTATTTTTAGTGTACTAAAGAAAGAACTGTTTTTTTTTTTTTTTGCTTGTTCAATCTGTCAAAATGACTGTGTTATCTCTTCTACTCCTTGTTCTCTAACAGGAATGTTTCCAATCCCCCAACTCAGTAGACTTCAGATAGCTACCTGCTTGAGGTGTTTTGACCATGAGCTCCTTAAGGTCTGAACCCTTTGGGTTCTGAATTTCCTTTTTTTCCCCCAAGTCTTTGTTTGATTTGGTTTTTAAGGTTATTCTGACTTACGTCCTAGGATTGAGAGCAGCAGGGCCAAAAGGGACCTGCTGAATATACCCTTTTGTTCTATGAAAACACTATCTCATAGATATGAAGAACTAGCCTATACTGTTGTGGGAGGAAAAACTAGGGTTTCATTTGAGGAGCTGTTTTGTGAGTACCACTAGAAAAGAGAAGAAAACCAGATAGGTAGAAGAGATTCTCCACTTATAGAAGTACTGTCCTTGCATTATAAGGATGCTGATTTAAATTTGGGATATTTTAAATGCTAAAGGTGACACTTTCTCAACTGGCCAAACTTATTAATAAACTGGTATCATATGTCACCTCATGTTATACATTGATTAGGACATTTCTTTACCTGTGTGGCACTCCTGGCAAAATGTTTAACCTACTGTGCATCAGAACATGAGAAAACAATCATATATTTCTAAAGCAGGCCATATTTTGCAGAGTAACTAGTCTGTTCTTTTCAAAATGTCAGTGTCATGATAGGCAGAAAAAAGGCTGGGAGCTGTTTAGGTTTAAGGAAACTAATGGAATATGACAGCTAAATGTAATGTATAATTCTTGATTGAATCTTTGCTCAAAACAAACTAACCATTAAGAATATTATTGGAACTATTGGGACAATTTTAATATGGACTGCATATTAGAAAATAGTATCAGTGTTTAATTTCTTGGGGGGCCAGGCGTGATGGCTCCCACCTCTAATCCCAGCACTTTGGAAGGCCAAGATGGGAGGATCGCCTGAGCCCAGGAGGTCAAGACCAACCTGGGCAACATCCCGAGACACTGTCTCTACAAAATATATATTAAAAAAATTGGGCATGGTGGTGTCCACCTGTAGTCCCACCTACTTGGGAGGCTGAGGTAACAGGTTTGCCTAAGCCCAGGAGGTCGAGGTTGTAGTGAGCCATGATAAAAAAAAAAAAAAAACTTGGGTATGATAATTATTATGGTTGTGGAGGATAATGTCCTTGTTCTTAGGAATTACATGCTGAAGTATTGAATTGTCATGATGCCTACAACTTAATTTCAAAATATACAGCCAAAAAAATTATATATAATATATATGTATATATGTATAGCAGAGTGTTAATAATTGGTAAACTCTGTGAAAATCATGAGTGTTCATTGTACTAAAAAAAGGAAAAGGAAAAAAAGTATAAGAAAATGCTGAAATTTCTTCTTCTTTTTTTTTTTTGAGTTGAAGTCTCCTTCTGTCACCCAGACTGGAGTGCAGTGGCACAATCCCAGCTCACTGCAACTTTGATCTCTTGGGCTCAGGCCATCCTTCTGCCTCAGCCTTCTGAGTAGTTAGAACTATGGGCAGACGCCTGGCTAATTTTTGGATTTTTCTTTTTTTTTTTTTTTGTAGAGACAAGATCTCACTGGGGTCAAGCAATCCTCCTGCCTTGGTTTCCCAAAGTGCTGGGATCACAGACAAGAACCACTATGCTTGGCTGAAATTTCTTTTTTAATAGATGTCATTTGTTAGATTATTTAGGATTAGCACTTAATCATAAAAATAATGTTTTCAGTATTGAGAACCTAGGTAGTGTAGTGGTAAGATTATCACCAACCAGATAAATCCATTTGACATTAAAAAAAATAATGTGGCTGGGTACAGTGGCTCACGTTTGTAATCCCAGCACTTTGGGAGGCCGAGGTGAGAGGATTTCCTGAGCTCAGGGGTTTGAGACCAGCCCAGGCAACTTTGGTGAGACCTCATCTCTAAATAAATCAAGAAAAAGTGGCTGGGCATGGTGGTGCACCAAATCAAAAAAAAAAAAGTGATGTATGTACTAGGTGAGGAAATTAGAGTGAAAGCTTCCTTTTATCCTTTATTCTGTCTCCTCAAAATAACTACTGTTAACAGTGTCTTTTGATGTTCTCCACTAAAAAACAATAGAAGCTTTTGTTTTATTTTATTTCATTTCATTTTTTATTTATTTTTTGGGTCAGTGTCTCATTCTGTTGCCCAGACTGGAGTGCAGTGGCATGATAAGAGCTCATGCAGCCTTGACCTTTGGGCTCAAGCAATCCTCCTGCTTCAGTCTCCCTTGCATCTGGGACTACAGGCATACACCACCACGCTCAGCCTATTTTTTTTTGTTTTTTGTAGAGACGAGGTCTTGCTATGTTGCTCAGGCTGGTCTTGAACTCCTGGGCTCAAGTGATCCTTCCGCCTTGGCCTTCCAGACTGCTGGGATTACAGGTGTGAGCCACCGTGCCTGACTTGAAACTTATATTTTAGAGTTCCATGTATGTATTTAGTTTTCTTTTCAAAAACTTTCTGGACTTTGAAATGCCTTAAGTACTTCCTGAAAAAGTACTTAAGACATTTTTGAAAAAGGCAAGCATGTATTAATATCTACTTCATTAGTTTTCCTTTTCTCTTACCAGAAGTCTTTTATTATATTTGAAATTTTTAGATCAAATTTTTGGTCAGATGCAATCATTGATGCTTTATTCCTTCTTAAGAAAACATTAATGAACATTATTTCAAATCTTATATGTTACCCAGCTTCTGTGTAAGCTCAACTTCTATTTTTTGAAACTAGGGACTACCTTGATCTGTGGAACCTGAATTAGATCTTGGCTGTTTACTAGTTGTTTACAAATAGAGTTTTAATCAGTTTATCACATCATCTGTTAAAACTTTTTTTTTTTTTTTTGAGTTGGAGTCTCACTCTGTCACCCAGACTGGAGTGCAGTGGCCGCTCCCGGCCACCGCAGCCTCAACCTGCTGGGCTCCGGCGATCCTTCCGCCTCAGCCTTCCAAGTAGCTGGAACTACAGGCGCGCGCTGCCATGCCCGGCTAATTTTTTGATTTATTGTAGAGATGAGGTCTCGCCAAGTTGCCCAGGCGGGTCTCGAACCCGCGGGCTCAGGCAATCCACTCATCTCGACCTCCCAAAGTGCTGAGATTACGGACTGAGCCACTGAGCCTGGCCATCTATTAAAACTTAAACAAAATTTATTCTTCTGATATGGAACATCTCTCAAAATTGATTTCAGTAGAATTGAACTTAGGTAACATCTGGTTTGGGTACTTTAGAGAGTCATAGTTAAAGGTACCCAATATATGCCTTTCCTCTACATATCTATAAAACTATCTTCATAAAAATTATTTTTAAACATCTAGTCACATGCTCCAGGGCACTCACCCTTCACTAGCAGTTTATTTCATTTTCACACAGATTCAATTATTAGAAGAGGCTTTTTTTTTGAGGGGCTACTTTTGCTACTTAGAGTCACAAAATTTAAGTTTAAATCCTTTTCTGCCATAATCTTATAAATATTTGGAAAACTCTCTCATACCCTGGTCTTTTCTTTTTCAATTTAAACATTCTTTTTTTTTGAGTTGGAGTCTCAATCTGTCGCCCAGACTGGAGTGCAGTGGCCGCTCCCGGCCACTGCAGCCTCGACCTGCTGGGCTCCGGCGATCCTTCTGCCTCAGCCTTCCAAGTAGCTGTAACTACAGGCGCGTGCTACCATGCCCAGCTGATTTTTTATTTATTGCAGAGGATGAGGTCTTGCCAAGTTGCCCAGGCGGGTCTCGAACCCGTGGGCTCAGGCAATCCACTCACCTTAGCCTCCCAAAGCACAGGATTAGAGACTGAGCCACCGAGCCCAGCTTAAACATTCTTAGTTCTTTCAGACATTCTTTATACTCCATTGTTTTATATTGTGATTTTTAAAATTTTGTCTCTTTTTAAAAAAATTTGATTTGATTTGTTTATTTATTTATTTTTGAGTTGAAATTTTACTCTGTTGCCCAGGCTAGAGTACAATGGCATAATCACAGCTCACTACAGCCTCACCCTTCTGGCTGCTCACTGCAGCCTCAACCTTTTAGGCAATTCTAGCCTCCTGAGTAGCTGGAAGTACAGGCATGTACCACCATGCCTGGCTATTTTTTGATTTTTGTAGAGACAGTGTCTCACTATGTTGCCCAGGTTGATCATGAACTCCTGGTTTCAAGCAACCCTCCTACCTCGGCATCCTGAAGTACTGTGGTTACAGGTGTGAACCACCATGCCCGACCAGGATATTTGTCTCTCTTAGAACTATTTTTTTCGTGTTTTGGGAAATTTAGTTTGTAGACTAGTTTTGAATGAGAGTTTAAAATTTTTGGCTTTCACTCTCTTCCATCCGCTCATGATTTTGTAATTTTATGGTTGCTTCCTACCTGCAGAATATTTCAGAACTAGGTCTTGAAATGGCGTTTGGAGCCTCCTGCTCTGTTGTGATATTGGGAGTTTTGATATCTGGTCTTACAGTCTTGGGTTACTTGCTCACCACATGAGAGTGAGGGGTTTTTCTCCTTCATACAATAACCCCCAGGCCCAGCTTCCAATAAAGATGTGTCCAGCAGAAGTGCTAGGTCCCAGTGTCTGACTTAAGCAGAGTCTTGCAGTATTGTCACTCTGAACGAAGTCCTTTTGATTTCATTTAATGCAGTCTAATCCTAGGCTGTTAGTTCCTTCTTCCCCAATTTGGAGCTCAGGCAGCATATGCCTTGAATCTACATTGCTATGTGACTAGATCAGGGGTTATATGTCAGAATGACCTTGTTATGGCTTCTAGACCATTTGTTCCTTATTATGTTGGTAAACACTCAATTGATTTCTGGATCAGACTAAAAAGTTGATATACTGACCAGCCAAAATTTAACCTTGCTTGTCTAGGACACAGCAAGCCAAACTGAATTAGCTTTTTTGGGGATAGCCACTTTATATTGTCACTTCAGATTGAGTTTGTATTCAGTTAAAGCTATTAGTGACACTAATTGATGCTGCTGCTGAGCTAAATGTAATATCATTTATTCCTTTGTTACTAAAAGTGTGATCTCCTGACCAGCAGCATCATTGACAACTGGAAACTCATTCGATATGCAGAATGGTATTGAATCTGCATTTTCACAAGTTTCCTGGGTGATTTCCTATGCACATTGGAGTCCTATTTTACATTAGTTTAGGTTAAGCATTATGAAGGGAAGCTTGAGATCATAGGATGTTTGGATGATAGCATTAATTTTTATGATTTTCAATGAATTTACAATAAATTTAATTTTTTTTTTCCTTTGAGTTGAAGTCTCACTCCGTCTCCCAGACTGGAGTACAGTGGCCGCTCCCGGCCACCGCAGCCTTGACCTGCTGGGCTCTGGCGATCCTTCCGTCTCAGCCTTCCAAGTAGCTGGAACTACAGGCGTGCGCTACCACGCCCGGCTGGTTTTTTGATTTATTGTAGAGATGAGGTCTTACCAAGTTGCCCAGGTAGGTCTCAAACCCTCGGGCTCAGGCAGTCCACTCGCATCAGCCTCCCAAGGCGCAGGATTACAGGCTGAGCCACCAAGCCCGGCAATTTAATTTTTTTTAATTAATGGATCCATTAATCTATTTTGCATGAGTGACTACTTATTTGTCTTATTCTAAAATTCTGATTAAATATTCAAGACTGGCTTTAATTTGATGTTATTTTCACTTAAGGAAAATAAACGACATCTTCTCCCCAGACCAAATATTACACTTCATGATATAGTTTTACTTATTGAAAAGTGAAGGCCGGGCACGGTGGCTCATGTCTATTATCCCAGCACTTTGGGGGGCTGAGGTGAGAGGATTACCTGAGCCAGGAGTTTGAGGCCAGCCTGGGCAACATGGTGAAACCTTGTCTCCACAATAACTTAAAAAATTAGCTGGACATGGTGGCAACACACCTGTAGTCTCAGCTACTAAGAAGGCTGAGGTCAAAGGATAGTCAGAGCCCAAGAGGTCAGGGCGCGGTAGCCACTTCACACCTGTCTAGTTGACAGAGTGAGACTCTGACTTAGGAAAAAAAGTGCGAATTACTTTTCTTCACATTTAATATGTCTGAAGTGAATAGTAAGAAATTGTTTTTTTGTAACTAAAATTGTGAAAAATGTTTTCAGGAACATTTTGAGTAGAATGTAATATTTCCCTTTCAAGTAGTAGTTTAAGCAGCTTTATTTTAAAGTAATGTGCTCTCTAGCATTATTTTTATTTGTTTTAACTTTTTATTTTAAAGATGTGGGGTACAATTCAGGATAAGGTATTCAAATGTTCATTATTAGGTACCCTTGTTGATGAGGTGTGCTCCCCACCCCTACTACTGCCAATTGGCATTTTTTTTTTTTTGAGTTGGAGTCTCACTCTGTCGCCTAGGGTGAGATGCAGTGGCACACTCATGGCCACCACAGCCTCTACCTGCTGGGCTCAGGTGATCCTTCTGCCTCAGCCTTCCAAATAGCTGGTATAATAGGCATGCGCTGCCACGCCTGGCTAATTTTTTGATTTATTGTAGAGTCGAGGTCTCACCAAGTTGCCCAGGCTGGTCTCGACCCCCTGGGCTCAGGTAATCCTCTCGCCTTGTCCTCCCAAAGTGCTGAGATTTCAGGCTTGAGCCATCATGCCTGGTTGGTATTATTATTATTATTTTTTTTTTTTTTTGAGTTGGAGTCTCACTCTGATGCCCAGACTGGAGTGCAGTGGCCGCCTCCGGCCACCGCAGCCTCGCCTGCTGGGCTCTGGCGATCCTTCCGCCTCAGCCTTCCGAGTAGCCGAAATTACAGGCATGTGCTACCACGCCCGGCTGATTTTTTGATTTATTGTAGAGATGAGGTCTCGCTGCCCAGGCGGGTCTCGAATCCGTGGGCTCAGGCAATCCACTCACCTCAACCTCCCAAAGGCGCAGGATTACAGGCTGAGCCACCGAGCCCGGCTGGTATTATTTTTAAAACCTCTTTTTAGCTACATCAGATGAAAGCATTTGTGGGAGCAGAATGCATGCATGTGGAAATTCTTTGTACACACAAATACGTGGAGAAATGTACAGTGATTCTTTGGAGACTTTCCTTTTCCTTTTTTTTTTTGAGTTGAAGTCTCACTCTGTCACCCAGGCTGGAGTGAAGTGGCATGCTCACGGCCACCCCAGCCTTGACCTGCTGAGCTCAGGTGATTCTCCTGCCTCAGCCTTCCAAGTAGGTGGAGTTATAGGTATGCACCACCATGCCTGGCTATTTTTTTTTGATTTATTGTAAAGATGAGATCTCGCCAAGTTGCCTGGGGTGGTCTTGAACCCATGGGCTTGGGCAGTCCTCTCACCTTGGCCTCCCAAAGTGCTGGAATTATAGGCATGAGCCATGGTACCCTGCTTGCTTTTTCATTTTTTAAAGCCCAGTATAACATTTACCAGTACTGTTCCTTACTATAGTATCTTTCCTCTTGGCCATCCCTGATCCACTTTTGGAGTTTTGGGGCTATGAGAATTTCTTCCATTAAAATGGTTTCCTAAATTTTGCATCTTTGGCTGTAATGTCTTAAGTGACTTATTTTTCCTTTGGAATGGCAAGAATATCATACATTTTTAATGACTAGAATATGCATACTTTTGTCTAACACTAGAATCTGAGAATCCGGGTTTCATAAAATAGTGTTTTATCCATTCCTTAAGTTTGAAATCTTGTGTTGAATTTAACAGAACAAGGGTACCAGCATTTACATAGTATTGTCTTTGCATATATTTCCTAGGGATGTCCATTAACTCCGTTGCCTCCAGTTAGTATTGCTATTCGGTTTACCTATGTACTTCAGGATTGGCAGCAGTATTTTTGGCCCCAGCAACCTCCAGGTGAGATATTTACAACTGTTTTTAACTTATTAAATATTAATGGAAAAGAAAATACATTTATAAATTAAAATGCTTAGCAAGGTTTCCGGTGTTTTACATTAAAAATATGTGTGATTCATTTTGATGTAATATTGTTTACTTTATTGCCTTTATTCTTTTTTTCTTTTAAAGAAAAACTCTAGAGCCTTTTGAAAGCTCACAGTATGTATCCCCTGCCGTGGGACGTCATATGCCATAAATTACTACATAGTGAATGATTAAAGTGTCTGTTTTAATATAATAAGAGAAGCCACTCTCATAAGCTGAGAACAGATATGCAGAAAGCCTTAAAGAGATTGGAGTTTAAAGAAGAGCACTAAATTTTAAAAAGTGGAGAATAAAAATATGTGTGTATACACACACTTATGGCAAAAAATAGATTATTCTACTTTAACTTGCCTTTTATAAAAATGTCAATATCAGTTTGCCTGCTTAGCTGTTGATAAACTGGTTAATTTAACTGTCATTAATTATTAGCCTATAATGGGTCAGGCTGTGCTAAGGACAGAAATACAAGGGAGCCCCTCTCCAAAAAATGGAATTTATTTATTTAAAAATTGTGTATTCTTACACCTGTAAACTTCAGTCACCTTCAAAGTACTCTCCATTTGATGCACGACATCTATCGAGACACTTTTTCCACTGCTCAAAACTATTTTTAAACTCGTTCATTTTCTTGCCTTTAGTGCTTGTGCCGTTTTATGTTTCACCTCTTCCACACTGGCAAAACGTTTCCCTTTGAGAACTTTTTTCATTGGGGAAATTAAAAAAAGTCATTTGGAAGGAGATCGGAGGAATAGGAAGGGTGGGGCATGGGGTCATGCTGTTTTTGGTCAAAAACTGCTGAACACTCAGTGCATTGTGGGCAGGTGTATTGTCATGGTGGAAGAACCAGTTACCTGTTTCCCATGACTCAGGATGTTTCTTCTGCAAATCATGATGCAACCTTCTCAAAACTTCCAGATACAAACTTTGGTTGACTGCTCTGAAGGAACTACTTCTGAGTATACTACAAGGGGCCTGCCCTCCAAAAGATAAGTCTGGTTTTTGGGGTCCACCATGTGTGAACATCACATTACCTCTGTTCTAGAAAAGTTCCGTTTGATGACCACATATCTTAATTAAGTACGATTTTCATTCTTGGATGTTCTTTCACATGTAGAGTTATTTTGAAGCACATCTAGTAAGAAACTTATAAAATACAAGGATTTTACTAGCTTGAAAACAATTTTTAAATCTACCTCCCCCAAAGAGAAATAAAATAAACTAATATTCTTTATTGTTTATTTTTGTTCTAAATAGGGGTTATTTATAGAATTGAAAATAATTGGTAGACATAGGAAGATATAAAAATTAATGTAGTACATTCTTACCTTTTGGCACTTATATGCACTACTCTTTTATTTTATATACCACTGAATAATTTGAAACTCTAATGTACAGTAAAAGGATTGTATTTAAACTGCAGCAAAGAGAAATATAAGTTAAGCTTTAGATTTATATCAGAAGAAAGACTTAAATGTTTATGTTGATAATTTTTAGTTCCTAGATAACGATGCCCACTGGGCAATTTATGGTCTACTTCTAGTTAGAAGTTTCAGTTCTGATCCTCCTTTTTCTTTATTCTAAGGCCACTCTTCATAAGCAATTTTAAAGAACAAGGTAGTGTGGTCTGCTGATGATCTATGAAGTCGCCTAAGAGCTAGAATCTTAGCATTATAATTCTGATTGCCAATAAGGTCTTTGTTAGTGTTCTATTGCCAATTTTTTAATGGGGATAAAAATATTAACCTTCTCCAGCAGTGGATTGAAGCTCATATAAATTTTAAACATTTTCTCTTATAAGGAGAAAAGAACTGAACACGTAATATAATATAGGCCATATACTGTGCTTGGTATACCTATTTTGTGTAATTCTCATTTACCAATAGATAAGTATTCTATCTTAAGAAGTAAGTTTCTTAGAGATTGTAAATTTCTTAGAGATCTCACATAACTGACCCGAGGTCATATGGTCACTGAGTGTAAAATTTACATTCTAACACTAGCCAAACTCTAAGCCCCATTTGCTTTTCATTCCATAATGTTGCTTCTCAACTATTAATTCAGCTAAAGCTTTTGTATAGTTGCATTTTAGTAATAATTTTTAATTTACTAATTTATAAAAATGTATTCCTTATAATTCTGAAGCTCTTAAAAATACATATCTTAAAAATTCACATTCTATAATAATGCTAGTTATTGAGATCTTTTTTTTTTTTTGAGTTGAGGTCTCACTCTGTCACCCAGGCTGGAATACAGTGGCAGGATCATGGCTCACTATAGCATTGACCTCCTGGGCTCGGGTGATCCTTCTGTCTCAGCCTCTCGAGTAGCTGGGAGTATAGGCATCTACCACCATGCCCGGCTAATCTTTTTGATTTTTTTTTTTTTTTTTTAATAGAAATGAGGCTTTGCTATGTTGCCCAGGCTTGTCTCAAACTCCTGGGCTCAAGTGATCTTCCCACCTCAATTTCCCAAAGTGCTGGGATTACAGAAGTGAGACTCTGAGCCTAGCCAGTGATCTTTATTATTGTAACACTCTTTAGCTGGAGAAATGGAATGAATTGATTTGAGAACATTTGCTGAACCAGATAATAGATCCATATTTAATGACTAATTTTAATAATTTAGTTAAGGTATAGATAATTGTCAGATATGATTTTAGCAAATATGGGCAACATTTATAACTCAGTAGACTTTTAGGAATTTCTACTATAGTATGAATAATTTAAAACCACCATTCGTATTATTTCAAAGAGAAATAAATCCTTTTGATGTCTTTTAGAATTGTTTATTACTTCCTCAGGAGGAGCAGAACTAACAGGAGAGATTTACCTTCTAAGTTCTCCTCTTGTCTCATATACTATTCATAATGGGAAGGAGGTCCTTTCTTGAACTTTATATATTTCTATTTATCAGCCAAAATATAATTTTGTTAAAGCTGATAGATTTGCTATTCAGAAATTATTGACAGCAAAACTGATGTATGAAGATTGTTGATTAAATTTTTAAATACTTGGATCATCTTTTTTAGGTTTTGTTCTTAGAAAAATGCAGAATTTAAAGAAATAATATTCTCTTTAGTAATATTTAAGGAATAGAAAGGTAAAATTCAGACGGGAAAAATTTAGGATACATGGCTTGAATGAAATACTGGATGAGTAGGAAACAAGTGTGTCATTTTACATTCTGAGGGGAAGTCTTTAATATTTGACTGTATGTGCTGTAGCTTGCTTCAGCTTGCTCACTTGCTATTTGTGTTCTCTTCTAGGCATTTTTAAAGCTGTAATCTTCCAAAGGGTTTAACTTAACCAGATTAGATTCTTATTTCTTTTCTTTTCTTTTTCTTTTTGCCAAATAATGGAAACATATTTCCTTTGTTTAGATATAGATGCCCTTGTAGGAGGAGAAGTTGGAGGTCTGGAGTTTGGCAAGTTACCATTTGGTGCCTGTGAAGATCCTATTAGGTAAGAATTTCACCCTATTTTTTGAATTGTGGAATTATTTTACTTTTAAAATTTATCTTGGTAATAATTTTTCTGTGCTTTATGATACTGTAGCCTGCTGTGAAGAATGTAGTATGGAAATAAAGACATATCTGGTTACTTTATTTTCTAAATTTACACAAAAACTTTCTGAAATTTAGCATTCATCTGTAATAAGAGTTTGGCAAACTATGGCCTGTGGACCAAATCTGGCCAGTAGTCTGTATTTGTATGGCCAGTGAGTTCACAATGTTTTTTATACATTTTTGTTTTTGTTTTTTTTGAGTTGGAGTCATCTCACTCTGTCACCCAGGCTGGAGTGCATGCTCATGGCCTCTGCAGCCTCCACCTACTGTGCTCAGGCGATCCTTCTGCTTCAGCCTTCCAGGTAGCTGGAATTACAGGTGTGTGCCACCATGCCCAGCTAATGTTTTTATTTATTGTAGAGATGAGGCCTCACCAAGTTGCCCAGGCTGGTTGAACCCCTGGGCTCAGGCAGTCCTCTCGCCTCGACCTCCCAAAGTGCTGCGAGTACAGGCTTGAGCCACTGCGCCCGGCCCGACATTTTTAAGGGTTATAAGAGAAAACAAGAATGTAACAGACTGCACTTGGCCCACAAAGCCTAAAATATTTGCCCTGACTCTTTGTAAAAAATGTGTGCCAGCTCTTTGTCTATAATGTAATTTTTCAAAGCTGTGATATAATTAACTTGCCATATTAACTTAATATATATTTCTAGAAGAATTGCTGAGTCAGAGGATAGATGTCCATTTATTAAAGCTTTTGGATTTATTTCATGTTTTATTTCAGTGAACTCCATTTAGCTACTGCATGGCCTCATCTGACTGAAGGGATCATTGTGGATAATGATGTCTATTCGTAAGTATGTTAAGAGTAGTGCGTTGAGATTAAAAAACTTCAATAGAGGAAATTAACTGCCAAATGTTTAGTAATTTTCCTTTTTGTTTACATCAGTTTCTGATAAGGTTGGTTGATTTTTCTATTTTTAAAGGTCACTTTTAGACTGATTAATATGTTTTAGAGATACATCTTACTTTGCTAGTTTTGGAGATGTTAGTTCAGGGATAATGAACAATTTGAATCTTACTGTGTTTTAGCAACAAAGATGTCTCTAAGTAGGTTTGGGATTCAGTGCATAATTCTGTTGAACTTATTTTAGCTGGTAAGAAGCATTTCATGAAATGCTTTGAAGAGATGATGGTCGTAAGAATGCATGGGAATAATATCGGATTATTGAATATTTTGAATAATAAAATATCCATGCATTATACTCTTTTGCAGTAGAAATTACTTAAAAAATTATAGCTGCATTATTTAGCAAGAATGTGGAGAAAAAATAAGACCATTTTAGTGCCTTTTCATACCTAATGCAGAACAGTGAGAAATAGGACACTTTTTCTTTAAAATAAAATTGTTGCATTTGCTGATGGTGAAAGTAACATAAATGCTCTTAATCAGATAATTTAGGGTAAAGAAGAAATGAAAGACTAACCATAATCCCATTATTTTAAAAGTAGCCCATTAATATTTTGGTGTATGTCTTTTTAAAGTTTACATTCATGTATTAATTTGCTTTATTTACTTTATACATTATTTTACATCTTTTATGCCAATCATTATAGGTCTTTGTTGTAATTTTCTATTGCTACATAGTAGCCCATTAAGTGAATGTACCATAATCTATTTAATTGAGAAAACAGGGCATTTTTGTGCAAGTGTTTGTATTCTTTTTTTTTCTCCCCTAGGATGGGGTTTCACTATGCTGTTCAGCTAGACTTGAACTCCTGAGCTTTCCCAGTAGCTGGGACTTTGGGTGTACCACAGTGCCTAGAGCTTTAAAAAAAATTAACAGTGATTTAAAACAAATTGTTTAAGATGATTGTGCATACTTGCTTGTTTCTCATGCCTTTATTATTCTTAAAATGTAATTCTCTTATCATGTTATTAATGTACATTACCTGTCCAGAATCATTTTTATGTGTTTAAAAGAATTTTTTTTGGCATTTACTTTTGTGACTTTTTTTGTTGTTATCTAAGAACTTTGATTTCTTATGATGCTGTTTCTTTAAAACATCCTAGTGGACTTATCTGTATCTGGATAACAGTAAGTTTAAGGGAGGATAAATGAACTGCTTGTCCTTCTGTATAATGTTTTCATTAGACCACATTTTGATAAGTTTATGATTCTTGCAGATAGTCATAAATTAGGATCTTGCATTATTGTTTTGCATTTTAGTGATTTGGATCCTATTCAAGCTCCTCATTGGTCTGTTAGAGTTCGAAAAGCTGATAATCCTCAGTGTTTGCTAGGTAAGATATATTATGTTTCTTTTCTGAAATACCACCAATCTGCCCATCTTCCAAATCAGGAGCACTGAATACAGTCTTCATACTTTAGTTTATCCATTCAAAAACAACTTTTTTTGAAAAATATTTGTTACCTCCTCAACACCATGTAGAAAAAAATATTTGACAACAGCAGTAATTTATTTTTCAAGTAGCACTAGCAGGATTTCTTTCTTATCTTCTAATTTTAACTAATCTATACCTTAGAATTCACCATTATTTTCTTATCTCATCTTCATTCTTCTGATGATTTCCTTCCTCCTGTGGCATAGTCTGCATCTTCTTCCTGTTAGTGGAGCACTTTTTAGCCCTTTGTCCCTCTAGACCTGTGTTTTCTGATAGGAAAGAGTACTGATTTTAAGGATGTGCATTAGAGCTCTTCTGCAGAGTTGTATCACATCTGCAAACGTATTTTCTGATATGGGAAAAGAGGGGTAAATCATCTTGTACCCCTCACAGAGTTATTTGAAGAATCAAGTAAAACAACGTTTCAAATGGAAGTGCTTTGAAAAATATTAATTGCTATTCAAATAGTATTACTGTGTCTCATGTCTGGAATTCTTTCCCTTCCTTTTTTTTTTTGATGTGGAGTTTAGCTGTGTGGCTGGAGTACAGTGGCACACTCATGGCTACCACAGCCTCGACCTGTTGGCTCAGATGCTCCTTCTGCCTCAGCCTTCCAAGTAGCTGGAACTATAGGCACATATCGCCACACCCGGCTATTTTTTTTTGATTTAATTTAGAGATGAGGTCTTGCCAAGTTGCCCAGGATGATCTTGAACCCATGAGCTCAGGCAGTCCTTTCGTCTCTGCCTCCCAAAGTGCTAGGATTATAGGCGAGAGCCACTGTGCCTGACTCCCTTCTCTCTCTCTTTTTTTTTTTTTTGTGTTGGAGTCTTACTCTGTCACCCAGGCTGGAGTGCAGTGGCACACTCATGGCCATCCCAGTGTTGACCTGCTAGGCTCAGGCGATCCTTCTACCTCAGCCTTCCAAGTAGCCGGAACTACAGGTGCACACTACCACACTCGGCTAATTTTTGATTTTTATTGTAGAAATGAGGTCTCACCAAGTTGCCCAGGCTGTTCTTGAACCTGTGGGCTCAGGCAGTCCCCTCACCTCAGCCTCCCAAAGTGCTAGGATTACTGGCTTGAGCCAATGCACTTGGCCTCCCTTCTCTTTTTAATGTGTTTTTCTTTCATGAAGTCTTCTGAACCCATCTCCTTGATGTGCCTTTTCATGTTTTCCTCCTTACATTTAGTACAAATGAATACATTTTCTCTGCTTTTTCTCTCTGTTCATCCATGCCACCATCACTCTATATCACTTGATATGTTATCATTCAGTTTATTATTATTCAGCCGATGGAGTCACCAAATATTTGTTATGACAGTCATGATGCGTTTCTCTAGAGCATTATTTCCTTGGACTCTTGTCATTCACCATATGCTATTTGTTACATGCCAATTAGTAATTACCATTCGTGCTAACTATATAACAATGAAGACAAAAGTGTATGAGATAAAATTACTGGCTGATTTGTCTGGGGCTTAGGGGGACAATAGAGGGTCATATCAAGAGTTTTAGAGTTGGATAGACTTTGGTTCAAGACCTGATCACAGTTTGAGCAAGTTTCTTAATCTCCTTAAGCTTCAGACTCCTCATCAGTAAAACAGAGTGATAGTACACACTTCACAGGGCTGTTAGGAGGGTGGAACAAATGGGATTATGTACTAGTGTATGTATGTATATCATACTTAACACATTGCCTTTCTTACAGCATGTGAACAATAAATGGTTTCTGTTGTTTACTCATTAGTTACTACATTGTTAAATTTACTTATTATTTTTAATGCCTTTTTGTTCTTCACCAACTGACTTTCTGTGCTCATCACAGAGGACCTTAGAATGAAAAGCATTCTCAGTTCCCTCTTCCATGATCTCACCCTACTACTGTGACTAGTTTGTATGACTAGACTGTAGACGTTTCCTGTCCTTCAGAGGAAGTCCAGAAAGAGTTCTAGGTTTGTTTGGAACTGGTTGGTGAATTTTAATACTTAGATGTACTTGATGTATTTCAGTACTGATAGAACTTGTTGAGCATTAACTTCTTGGTGCAAACATACCTCATTGCAGCTCTTTAGAAGATATCAAGCCCCTTTCCTCCTTTTATAATAATGATAGGAAGTAGACTCTTAATATGCAGCCAAAAATGAAATATCTTCATCCTACATGATTTTCTAATTCTCTAAGAACAAATCTTTAGAATTTCTTTTAAATTTTGTTTACTGTTAATAGATTTGGATTCTAGTAGGGTAGCAGCTGGGGAAAGTAACATACATACAGTAATGTTACTTACATAACAGTGATAATGAATATTGTCTCGTTGAGGCATATTAAGTGCTTAATATTAGGGACAATTAATTTTTTCTTTAATTCTAGAAGGAATGCTGAGGAAAATCTTTTAATATCCCAGGACTTGGAGAGACTGGAAGGAAGAACAAGACAATCTTAATATAGGATTAATTCTTGTCTTCTTCAGTGGAAAAACTGACTGGCGTTCTTTTCTACTATATTTTAGTTAATAGCGTTTGTGAAAAGATATGTACTTTAATTTATAGGACTGATTTTTTTTTTTTTAGTTAAGTGTCAAAAATGAATAACTTTTTCTACATAGGTGATTTTGTCACTGAATTTTTTAAAATTTGCCGTCGAAAGGAATCAACTGATGAGATTCTTGGACGATCTACATTTGAGGACGAAGGAAGAGGTAACCTACTTTTTTTTTTAATGTTACTTTCACATGTCTTACCTTTTCCTTTGGCGCATTTTCCAGTAACTTTTCATCTATTTTCTAATTTTGAATTAAGTTGGAAAAGCAAGATTTTATGGACTAGACAGCTACCATTCCTTTCTAGGCTTTACCTAGAGCTTGTTAAGACATTAAGTGCATTTGATAAGTGCTGTCTACCAAAGTTGTAAGATAATTTAAAAATCAGAGTTTTAGAGGTTTATTTTTTAAGTCTCCTGAGGAAAAATAATTTGTGTGATACCTTTGTCATTCATGCTTGCATATAAAGCTGAACATGCGTATTAAACTTCTACAATCTCAGACCATGTAACACCAGTGAAAAGAAAGATTAAAATATTCTATACAGTCATCAATTTACTCATCACTTTAACCTGCTGAGGTTGGTGATATAATTATATTCATTTCTATTCTTTTTATAGAAATTGCTGATATAACTCATGCTTTGTCAAAGTTGACAGAGCCAACACCGGTTCCAATTCATAAATTATCAGTTTCAAATATGGTACATACTGCAAAGAAGAAAATACGAAAACACAGAGGTGTAGAAGAGTCACCACTGAATAATGATGTCCTCAATACTATTCTCCTGGTAACTAAGTGTCCTGTCTTTGTAGGTCTATGCATAATCATTTATTCATTATATATTCAATATTCAGTATATGGCAGGCATGGAATCGGGAATATAAAATGGATAAAACAAAATCTTCACATTCACAGAATTGCCACTAGTGTGGTGGGAAGGAGGAAGTAAACAGTAGTTGCAATACTGCGTTGCATGTGAGAAGTCCGGCAAGGCGGCTATGAAAACACAACAAATGCTGTCTCTGTCTGGGCAGTGAGAATCAGGGAAGGCTTCATAAAGTGGGTCACTTGAGCTGAATCTTGAAGAAAAGAAGACTTCAGAAGCAGAGAAATGGCAAAGGGCTGAGAACATGTTGAATAGTTGGTATTTTGTGGGGTTCTTCCCAGGGAGTGGCCAGGGTTGAGGCTGGAGAAGTCGCAGGTAATCTGCCATGCAAAAGCACTGGATTTTATTTTGCACTTTAGTACTATTTTAAGTAGAAGATGAACATGGTCAGAATTGATTTTTGAAAAGTTGTTTTGACAACATTTGAGAGAGAGTTTTATGGTGAAGATGGAAGGGAAATAGAGTAGAATGAGTGACTCCTTGGAATGGACCCAGCCTGGGAGCCACCCACATATGGTTTAACCCCTGCATGACTTTAAACAAGTCACTTCAGTTTCCTCATCTGTAAGATGTGGCTAATACAACCTTATGAGATTGTTGTAAGGATTAAAGGACCTTCAGTGACACTGCCTAGCATGTAGGCCTTTGATAAATTATAGTTGTTCTTACTGTAATTGTAGTTTAAGTCATTCTCCTGGCAGTTTGTGTATTAAGACAGTCTTGGGAGAACCTTCAAGAGTTAATGAAAAGAATATTGGACTTGAAAACTTGATGTTTATCTTACCCCTTGCATTTATCTGAACAAGATTCTTAGGCAAATTTTCAGCTTGTACATCTTAAGATATGGGCAGGGATATTTAACTCATTCAGTTGTATGAGACTAGAATAATGTTTGTAAATGTGCCTAGTACTGGCACTTGGCATATAGTAGGTCCTCTAATTTTTTTTTTTTTTTTTTGAGTTGGAATCGCACTCTGTCGCCCAGACTGGAGTGCAGTGGCCGCTCCCGGCCACCGCACCCTCGACCTGCTGGGCTCCGGCAATCCTTCCGCCTCAGCCTTCCAAGTGGCCGGAATTACAGGCATGTGCTACCACGCCCAGCTGATTTTTTTATTTATTGTAGAGATGAGGTCTTACTGCCCAGGCGGGTCTCAAATCCGCGGGCTCAGGCAATCCACTCACCTCAGGCTCCCAAAGGCACGGGATTACAGGCTGAGCCACCGAGCCCAGCTGGTCCTCTAATTTTTAGAAAGTCTTTTCAACATGTTCTGTCGTGTTGGCAAAGTATATACATAGTATACTCAACAGTAACACAAAACAATTGGGACAGCATTATAAGGACTGAACATAAATTTCTGTAGAGAAGAGTCCTTAAGGATGTATCCTTAGAGATTTATTCAAATTATGTAACTCAGTTGTCATATACAGTGAGGGTTTTTTTTTTTTAACCATTTTTACATACACATACAGACACACAAATAAAAATCTCATGGAGAAGATATATAGATTATTACAGGTTTCGAGTGCTTCCCACTTTCTCAGGATATTATAAAATAAAACTGTGGGTTTTGAATATAATACCTTTAGTATTCCATATATGAAAACCTGTGAATAATGTAACTCTTCAGATCCTCATGAGTATATACCCTTAATATATATTCTTAAATTGTCTTTTATAGTTTTGTCTTTTTTTTTTTTTTCTCTTGGAGCTGGGATCTTACTGTGTTGCCCAGACTAGAATGTAGTGGCAGAATAACGGCTCTCCGCAGCCTCAACATCCTGGGCTGAGGCGATCCTTCCTCCTCAGCCTTCTAAGTAGTTGTGGTTACAGGCACGCACCACCCTACCTGGCTAACTTTTTTATTTGTGTAGAGATAAGGTCTTGCTATGTTGCCTAGGCTGGTCTCTAACTCCTGGGCTCAAAGAATTCTCCCACCTCGGCCGTCCAACGTGCTGGAATTACAGGCATGAACCACCCTACCCTGTCTAGTTTTGTCGTTTTAGTAGTATTAACACTTTAAAAATATGTGTATAATGGTCTTGGATGAGCATGAAATCACAGTGAAAAGATTTTGCTTTTGTAATTTTCAGTTCATAAAATCGGGTGTTTGCTTTTTTTTTTTTTTTTTTTTTTTTTTGAGTTGGAGTCGCACTCTGTCACCCAGACTGGAGTGCAGTGGCTGCTCCCGGCCACCGCAGCCTCAACCTGCTGGGCTCCGGCAATCCTTTCGCCTCAGCCTTCCAAGTAGCCGGAATTACAGGCGTGCGCTACCACGCCCGGCTGATTTTTTGATTTATTGTAGAGACGAGGTCTCGCTGCCCAGGCAGGTCTCGAATCCGCGGGCTCAGGCAATCCACTCACCTCAGCCTCCCAAAGTGCTGGGATTACAGGCTGAGCCACCGAGCCCAGCGCGGGTGTTTACTTTTAAGATCAATTTCTGATTTCAAAAATTGGCTAGTCACTGAAATGCTGTGTATTTTTTTTTTTTTCATTAATCAGTATTTTTTATTATGGTTTTGTGGGGTACAGTTAAGGGTTAGGTGTACAATAACGTTTCATTCAGGCACCCTGTAGATAAGAAGTGTTTTCCCATCCCCCGACAGATATTTGCTACTGTTAATCCCATCCCCCTCCCCCCCATAGTTTCCCAGTACCATCCGTCATTTTCTCATAGTATTGCATTGGATGTTCAAGGTCCATTATATGAGTGAGAACATGTGATATTCGGATTTTTGTTTTTGTGAGAGGTCACTCAGTATTATAGACTCTAGTTCCATCCAGGTTGCAGCGAAATTCATGATTTTGTTCTTTTTTATGGCTGCGTAGTATTCTATCGTGTATATGTACCACATTTTTTTAATCCAGTCCTCTTTTGGTGGGCAGCATGGTTGTTTCCAGGTTCTTGCTATTGTGAACAATGCTGCGATAAACATACGTGTGCAGGTATCTTTTTTATAGAGTGATTTGTGTTCTTCAGGGTATATTCCCAGTAGGGGGATTGCAGGGTCATATGGAAGGTCAATTTTTAGAGCTTTTAGGAATCGCCACACTGCTTTCCACAGAGGTTGCACTAGTTTACACTCTGAC